TAATAAAAGTCTTTTAAACACTCAAGTATATCCAGAGGTTAGGTATGGTCCCCAGTTGAGGGATGGGGCCACTCACCCTTCTCAAAATTTTAAACCAGAATTGCTCCTGTCTAAAAGAAATACAGGGACAAAGAGTGGAGCAGAAACTGAAGGAAAGGCCATCCAGAGACTACCCCATCTGGGGATCCATCCCATATGCAGCCACCAAACCCAGTCACTATTGCTAATGCCAAGAAGTGCTTGCTGACAGGAGCCTGATATGGATGTCTCCTGAGAGGCTTGGCCAGAGCCTTACCAGTACAGATGTGGATGCTTGCAGCTAACCATCAGACTGAGCATGGGGACCCCAATGGCGAAGTTAGGTGAAGGACTGCAGGAGCTGAAGGGATTTGCAATTCATAGGAAGAACAACAATATCAACCAACCAGACCCCTCAGAGATCCCAGGAACTAAACCACCAACCAAATCATAAACATGCAGGGATCCATGGCTCCAGCTGGATATGTATTAGAGGATTGACTCATCTGACATCAGTGAGAGGGGAGGCCCTTGGTTCTGTGAAGGCTTGAAGCTCCAGGGTAGGGGAATGCTAGTGTGGAGAGGCAGGAGTGGGTGAGTGTGTGGGGGAGCACCCTCATGGAAGCAGGGTGGAGGGAGCATGGGATAGGGGTTTTTGGAGGAAAACTCTGGAAGGAGAATAACATTTGAAATATAAATAAATAAAATAACCAATAAAATAATAAAAAATGTTCAAGCAAGTATAAAAGCACAAACAGGCTATCACAAACACGTGGAGAAAGAAATCTTAAATATCCAGGAGATTCTGTAGGTTTTCTTGTGATATCCTAAATACTCTGATGCTTTCAATCCTTTCTCCCTTTCTTCCACAAGATTCAACAAGCTCCCCTTCATATTTGGCTGCATTTGTTTGTATCAGCTGCTGGGCGAGTCGCTCAGAGGACAGTTATGCTAGGGTCCTCTCTGTAAGTATAGAATAACATTAATAGTGTCAGGGATTGGCTCTTTCTCACGGCTTGGGTCTCAGGTTAAGGCCTGCCTTGATTGGCTAGTCCCTCAATTTTTATTTCATCATTATTCCTGCACATCTTGTATGCAGGACACATTATGGGTTGAAAGTTTTAAGGGTAGGTTAGTGTCCCAGTCTCTTCATTGGAAGTCTTGCCTGGTTGCAGAAGATGGCTGTTTCAGGTTCCATATCTCGTATTGTAAGAAGTTTTAGCTAAGTTCACTCTCAAAGCTTCCTGGGAGTTCTTCTTGTCCTAGGTTTCTAGTTCATCCCAGAGATGCCTCCTCCTAACCCAGTTCTCTCTCCCTTGTCTATCCTTTCCACAATTGTTCCCTCCTGTTCCCCTCCATACACCCTATCACACCAAGTTCCTTCCCTTCATGCACCCTCTTTCTTATTTTGTTTTGCTTTCTCAACTAAGCTTGGTACATAGGGGCTCACAGAGTCTGAACCACCAACCACACAGCTTGCATGAGACAGACCTAGACTCTCTAATGTATGTAAAAGGTGTCCAGCTATCTCTGACTTTGTTGTCTGTCTTTGCACCCCTTTCCCTTAACTAGGCTGCCTTATCTTGGCTCAGTAGGAAAAGATGTGCCTAGTCCTACTGCAACTTGGCATGCCAAAACAGGTTGATATCCATAGGAGTTCTCCCCATCTTTGAAGAGAAAGAGTGTAGAAAATGGGGTGAGGGATGTGAGAGGAAGGGACTGGGAAGAGAGGAAGAGAAGAAGCTGCAATTGGGATGCAAAGCCAATAAATAAATTAATAAAAAAATAAAAGTTAGCAAAAGAAAATACCCAGGAGAATAAGAATCAGTCTCCCAGGCTGTTGACATCTCAGGGATACCTCTATAAACTCCAGTGGCAACAAAGGAGGGAGCTTGAGCTTCTTTGTTTTTCTTGCATTCTGAGACCATGCTGATGGCTGGACTAGAGTGGCAATGCTAATAGGCTTCGCATCAACTTCCAGAATCACTGTACTTTCTCTCAGATATGGATCGGAGTTGGATACAAGCAGAAGTGTGGCCACCACTGAATAAGGATACTCCATAGAGTAGGAGATGCCTATTTTCAGATTTTTCACGGAGGCAATTCAGTAATCTATTTAAGGTACATTTCAACATTGTCACAGATTATGTCAAATTATAAGAGAGTACTTTAAATGTGGATGCTGTTTTATCGGGCCACTATGCTTAAAGCAAACATGGAATATCTTTGCATAACTGGGTGTATGGAGTTTCATATACTCGTTGATCAGAGTCTGCATCATTACGCTGGATACTAAAATTATAAGTATTCAGTAAATCAGTGATTAAGATGAAATACTCAGATCTCAGAGGCCAGCATATGAAAACTAACAATTGCTCACTTGTCTACTCAGAATTTTTTCTTCCTTCTTTTCTTTTCCCCTCCCTCATTTCTTCCTTTCTTTCTTCCACTTGAGCATCTGCTTCTTTAAGTCTAATGAAGTTAAACACATTTTCAACGTGTCATCTAGAAGTTGAAAGCAAATATCAGAAAAATGGCACAAGTGCTAATTTTCCATGATCTCTCCAACAGAGGTTTACTTGTTCTTTGTAAGAACATTTTCAGTGGGTAACACTATGTTCTTACTGTGATGATATCACCGATTAGAAAGTAGTATATTTTGAAGTTGTGTAGAAGGTGACACAGGACTGTGAGTGGTTGGGGGGGTTATCTATAGTATATAACTATTGATAAATAACATAAAATGTACTCTTCCCATTACTGGATACTAGGTATGATACAGAGGACACTAAATCAGGAAGAGTGGCATAAATCAAAGTGAAGTTTGCTGTTTTAAGCATGTCCACTTAACTGTCTCTAGATGGTAGAGACTGCCTCTGAACTGTTATGAAAATCCAATTAGTTAAAGACTTGAATTGCTTCAGGACTCACAATTTTGAGTTGGTCTCTCTTAAAATAAACAGAGTCACCCAGACACCAGAAGAGAAGTTTCAGATATCCATTAACAAGGCAGAGAAATGGGGCAGTAAAAGTTGTTTTCTCTATGCCAGAAACAGTAAAAGAATTAATGCTCAGATACTTTGGGAAAGTGGGAGTGAGAAATGGGTTATTAATCTGAAGAGTAGTGGGGTTTGTTTTTCTCCCTTCGCATTTTCATTGGGTAAAATGCTGTTCCATTCTGTAATTTCAACCATGAGCATCATGCCTTGCTGCCCTCTTACTAACTTTCTTTGTCCATTCTGTTTTGGTTCTGAATGACAAGTGGTAAACTAAGTAGTGAACATCTTCATTTATTGTAAATAACTACTGCCTGACCCAGTCACTTTATACGGTTTGTCTCAAAACATTGTTTCCTTGGATATAGCATGTGAGTGGCTGGAGTTTATATTATACATGCTAGTGAGGAACTGATTTGAGGACATCATGAAAATGACTTGTAAAATAAATACACTGTCACATGATAGATTTATAAACATGTGATGTAATTTCTACTTTCTTTAGATACTTATCATTGAAACAAATAATTTTCTTTTCAGAGCAAACATATTATTCTTATGCACACATATATTTATATGCATGAAAATATATACATGTGAATATTTATAGACATGTATATTCATACAGAAAATATTGTATAGGAAAAGATACAGGTGATTTTTGGGTTGTGACTGCCTACCAAAAATGAACCAGAAAGCTAGAATATTTACCAAAAAGACTCTGGAAATACATTCTTTGGGTAACAAAGTTGAGTTTTCTTATGAATTATTTACAGCTAGGATCGTAAAGGAATGCTACTCTGAGTAACATTTTATATTTTAGAATTTGACAATATAATGGAGATGAGCAGATAAGATGTCATGGAAATGTTTTATAGTGAATTACTATAAATTTCAAAGCATGTATCTTTACAAATAATTAAGTTAGAATACTCTAAATTATATTTGATGGAAGGTTCAAATTTTCAGTTATGTGTTGTCACTAGTTTTCATTTGTAGCTGATTGGTGGCCATCTGATTCTTCCTAATTGGCTTGGTTGCCTTTTTCAGGATGTCTCATTTGTACAAGGACAAAGAAAGAAGATGCTTTAAACTGTACAGATGAAAGAGACTATAAATAACAACCTTTTCTTGTAGTTTTTATGAAGGAAAAAAATCACTCCTTACACTGTTAATTCTGTAGAAACATCATGCATGCAAGAGCTTGGATCGCTAAAGTCCCAGGTTGAGTAACTTGTTTGATTGAGCATAATATCTTTGACAATAACTTTTGCAAAAATAAAATACAGAAACTCTTGTAACATACTCCTGACTATGACTAGGATTTAAAATCTGGAGCAATTGCTTTTTAATTCTATTTGCATTATTTCACTTAGCCATTATAAAAACAGAATATATTTTTTAAAATGTTTCTATTATGGTATAAAATGATTCAGTGAAAATTTCAGACTTTCAACATACACATCATGTAGAATGCTATTTACTTTCCCACAGAAGTTTTTGTTTTATAAAGAACAGGCTAATTCATTGGCTTTTCCAATAAATTCACAGTTTACATACATTTGAGATGGATTTATGATTTTGAAGTGTTAACTAAAGAGTCTTTTGCCCCCTTTGCTGGTAGATAAGGCAGTGCTCTGGTCAGTCAAAGAAGACTTAAATTCTGGTCTTCATTTATATCCTGAATAGTTTAAAATGCATGTTAATCCTCCTCTTCAGGAAGTCCATGAAGACTGATTAAAACTGATCATTCAAATATTGTGAATTCTTCTCTTTTCACCTAAGTAGATGCTTTTATTTTCAATATTCTAGATGTGGCTATTTAGGGTATTAAATACTATATTTCAGTTCAATATTATATGTTATAAAATTATACACTTAAAAAGTTATAATACTCTGTTTTAATGGCAAAATTAACAAGGACTATCTTCTACATGATAATGCAAACTTGAACTGGGTATTCTTTTCTCATAATTGCAGATTTACATGAACAGATTTTACTTTAAAATTTTCATGAGAAAAATGGAAAACCAGAGCTTTGTCACTGAGTTCATTCTCCTTGGACTTTCACAGAATCCAAATGTTGAGAACATACTGTGTGTTGTTTTTTTGTTTATCTACCTTGCAACTATTGGGGGCAACATGATAATTGTGGTGACCATTGTCTACAGCCCTGCACTGCTGGGCTCCCCCATGTACTTCTTCCTGATATTCTTGTCCTTACTGGATTCATGCACTTCTTCTACTGTCACCCCTAAGATGATCATAGACTTCTTCTATGAGAGGAAGACCATCTCCTTTGAGTGTTGCATGACACAACTGTTTGCTATTCACTTTTTCACTGGGATAGAGGTGATTATCTTGTCAGCCATGGCCTATGACCGATATGTGGCCATTTGCAAACCCCTTCACTACTCCTCCATTATGACCAGAAGACTATGTGGCACTTTGGTGATGGTATCCTGGACAGGAGGCTTCTTACACTCTATCATTCAAGTTATCTTCACTTTGCAGCTGCCATTCTGTGGACCCAATGTCATTGATCATTACCTGTGTGACTTGTTTCCATTATTGAAGCTTGCCTGTACTGAGCCACACATATTTGTCATTTTGGTGTTTTCTAACAGTGGGTCTATCAGCATCATAATATTCTCTATTTTACTTGTCTCCTATGGTGTCATCTTGTTCTCTCTGAGAGCTCACAGCTC